ACTTCATAGTATTAGGCTTATAACTTCTTTTTTTTTCATAAAACATTTCCCATGCCCGCCCCCAGCCCCCACGCACACACCTCATTACAGTGACTGCTCTCACGCAATTCATGAAGCAAAAGAGCACAGCAAACAACAGGCCGGTGACAGCTCTCCTAAAAAGGCTAATGCATATTTTTTTCCTTTAGGAAGTCAAAGACTTTCTTCTAGGGTTCTGAAACTAAGAAAAAACAAACAACTAAATACACTATTATCATGTACCAGAAGTAAAATACAACAAACTGTATTTTTTGTCCAAATGTAGCATTTCACCAAAATGTTTTTATTTTCGTATTGTTGGGGGTGAGGGGAGTGGAATTATTTAAGGCATGGACAGAGAAAGAAGGGCCGGAAGATACTTTGGGAATCTCTGCCTAGCAAACATTTGTCAGTGAACCTCCGCATATATGAGAATACTGAAGAAAGGTAAGTATTGGACTGTTTTATAGCTGGTGTGGAATGAACAGTAGTGAAGAAAGCATTTGGATTTTCCAAAGTGTGTTGGTAACCTTCCCTTTGCCTGTTTACATAAAATCCTTGCATTCTGAAATCATATAGAAATGTATAAAATCCAGCATCCACTCCAGTGGGATTCTCCAGAGGAACCACTAAATTCCATGCAGGGCTTTCTTTCTGTCTAGGTCAGTGGTTCTCAACCTTCCTAATGCCGCGACCCTTTAATACAGTTCCTCATGTTGTGGTGACCCCCAATTTCATTGTTACAAATTGAACATAATTAAAGCATAGTGATTCATCACAAAACAATATGTAATTATATATGTGTTTTCTGATGGTCTTAGGCAACCCCTGTGAAAGGGTCGTTCGACCCCCCAAAGGGGTCGCAACCCACAGGTTGAGAACCGTTGGTCTAGGCCAGTGGTCAGCAAACTCCTTAGTCAACAGAGCCAAATAGCAACAGTACAACACTTGAAATTTCTTTAGAGAGCCAAATTTCTTAAATTTAAACTATATAGGTAGGTACATTGTTATTAACTTAATTAGGGTACTCCTAAGGCTTAGGAAGAGCCACACTCAAGGGGCCAAAGAGCCACATGTGGCTCGCGAGCTGCAGTTTACCGACCACAGGTCTAGGCCATCTAGATTTAGGGTATAGCCCTAGCTAGTTTGGCTCAATGGATAGAGCGTCGGCCTGTGGACTGAAGGGTCCCGGGTTCCATTCCAGTCAAGGGCACATTCCCAGGTTGTGGGCTTGATCCCTAGTAGGGGGGCAGGCGGGAGACAGCTAATCAATGACTTTCCGTCACTGATGTTTCTATTTCTCTACCCCACTCCCTTCCTCTCTGAAATCAATAAAAATATAGTTTTAAAAAGTTTATAGATTTAGAATATAATATTGTTATCCTGGTGATAATTATCAAGTGCATACATGTTTAATAATGAAAACGGTTTTCCTTACCTAGTGAATGGAAGACTGGGTAAAAAGTGTTTTTCTTACATGTGACCCTGCACATTGCATAGCCGAAGTTTTGAACTTGAGTTACCGAGTCACGGCGCAGCTTGACTGCCTCACTAATGGGGTGGTGAGGGCACTCCACCCACTATATTGGAGCCCTATTTTCTCCATATAATTCGGCTTAAATACAAGCAGGACAGCCTGAAAGGCGAGTGAGAACTTCAGAATGGGGATAACTACCCTAACATCTTTCTGAAAAACTCAGAGGCAGGATGGGGTAAGGATGCTTTACCTAAGAATACTCATTTCTTGGGCTTTTACAGGATTTCCTTTTTCTTTGGGGGGAGGGGTTGGGATGTTGTGCAATGATAGAGATGTGGAGAAGGGTGGGGGAGGGGAGACTCTGGGATGCCCCCCAAATCAGTGTGACTCCCATATCAGAGCCCTACAGCGGGGTTTTGCTAGATGGTGAGTCATCAGGAAGCTTTGTATCGCTCCTCCTGTGTGCCCACCCACCAGGAACGGGGGTCCACCTTCCGGACAACGTACCATTGCTATAAACTCAGACGGACCAGCAATGCCATATAAATTCATTACTGCAGACCTTGTAGCCCAATAATTTGGGATGTGTTAGACACAATCTGAATGTCTTTGTCTTTACACTGCTAAGGGTGGGCAGAGGAAGGGGAGGATTTACTCTGTAGGATAAATAATAGAACTTAGGATTATTGATAAATGCTTTTAAAACAAATCACAGATGCAGGCCCTACTAAGCTATGAATTCATTTCTTTGGGCTCAATACAGCAGTTGTGGCTGGGCCTCTTTCTAGCAGCTCTGCACATTAGCCATACTTTTGATACCTGAGGGGAAACCTTGAAGTCATGCCAAATAACTCATGCTCTTTCTTATTCCGTTGGCATTCCCTTATTCCCAAGTTCTTGTAATTACTTTTGGTAAGACACACTTAACAGTTTTAAATCTTGAATACCCAAGGAGTTAAGTAAGAATCAACAACCTGAAAAGCTCACAGGACTCGGATGGGGTAAACGCCTACCCTTGGTTCCCATGGCGACAGTGACTGACGGGCAGAGCTCCATGTCCTTGTGCTTTGTTTTCTGGTTCAAACAAAACCAAATACTAACACATCCACTTAAATTCCAGACGGGATTCTCTTATAGCACGCTTCGCTGTCTCAGTCTTCTCTCTAGGCACTCTACTTATTGTGAAGTCTTATTGCTTGATTACAAAGTAAGGTTATGAAGTAAGGAAATACTGGTGTAAACCCATATTTAACCAAAACACACACCCTCCTCTGAGATGCACCGATTGGGAAAAATATCAAAATCATATTAAAATGGTCCTTTTGTCTCACTGAAAGGAAAGTTCAGGTACGATTCACTCTAGTAGACCAGTAATTTACCAGGGTCTTGAGTCGCATCATGTAAAATAGCATCTACTTCTGTGGTTGCTGCTTGAAGCAGCCGCTGTCTTGAAAGGAGCCACTGGCAACAGGCCAACGATTAAACATCAAATCCCTATCCTAAGCTCGATGGCTATTTAAACATTACTCATAACTGCTTTTTAAAGGAAACGCACACTGTGCGTGCTTAAAAAAAAAAAAAAGAATGAAACTACCTGTGTATACTACAGCATAACATGCCAGAAGCTATAAATCGGCCTACGGTGTCGGCCACAGGACCCAGATGCTGGGCAGCCTCAGCCCATGCTTCTCTATCTGCAAATTCAGGCGACAGCAGAGAACGGCCGTTGCCAAGTCAGCATCCCATACACAGGCTGTGCCATCTCGCCTTGTTTCGTAAGCCACAAGTGCCCGAGAAAAGTATCTGATGTGGTGAAGCCTAACGTGAGAACAACCCAATAAAATCCCGGGGCGTCGGATGCCGTAAGTGTATTGCATTTGCTCTGAAATACACCTCTGCTCTCCGCAGCAACAGTTCCCATCTCTTCGAACAGATTCAGTACTTCTGCAGTCAGACCGAGTAAAATGATTACGGAGAAAATTCAAATTCAATTAAAATGGAGTTTGGGGGAGCGTGGTGAAGGAGACCGGGTGTAGCCTGCACCTTAACTGCATTGTATCTAAAGCTGATGGTCTATGAACCTCGCTAAATGCCTGCTATTAGGGTCACGAACTGTTGCAAAATACCAACTGTACTACCCTGACCCTAAATACTATTTGGATCTATGTTGCCTCAAAATAGTAGAGAGGTTATATACAACTAAAATATAATGAGTTACTACACCACATCAGAGGAGGGATAAGGAGACAGCGAGAGCTGGAAATGAAGTGGATACGTGTTTAGATGTACTCAGAAGCAGTGTTTCAGTCAGGGAGTCATTGAGCAACATGTCATTTCATAGGATAGGCTAGAAACATGGAACGGGAGTCACAGGAAGTAGCAGTGAGGAACAGGACAGATCCGCTAGGTGGACATCTAACTCCGTGTGAGCTTAAATGCCTACACTGGCGACTACACAGGCGCTCAGAACGGTCACTCGGTCACTCGCAAATCCCTTCAGTCCGCCGTGGCAGCTGACCCAGCCACAGGGCAGATCCACCCACCACACATGAGCACCTGGGCCGGTGCCTGTTAACATCCTCAGGGCCTCCCAAAGCTGAAGTACAGACAAAGGGGCCTACAGGAGAACCTTCCGGAACAGGGCCACTGGTTCTTCATTGCCGCTGCAGGGGACAGGGCTCCGTGTCCTCCTGGAGCCGCTGGAGAACACGCCCAGTGAGTAAATCAGTAGTAACAACAAGCCCCCAGCCCGACAATGTCGCACACAGAGCCTCTTGCTTCAAAACTGTGCACAAAGCAGCTGTCCTACCTACATGGCAAGGATTTGCAAGGAAGGAATGAGGAGGCAAGAAGACAAGACGGTGAGAGAGCGCCCGCCAGGCCCTGGCCCTTCGTTATCACAAAGAGAACAGTGCAAAGTCACTGCCAACTGTTCACACAACAGGATGCGGCAGCTGATGGCGGCGCCTTCCCCAGCGAGCGGACACAAAGCAAAGCCTCAGGTGCCTCCCTCCAGCGCCGCCACCGCTTCCCTCCGCGCCCAGTTCCTAAGGGGGGCACGGCCCCTCAGTCCTTCTGCATGCGGCCGGAAGCTGGCCTCGCTGAAGATCCTTTGAACCTGTGTGTGGGAAGCAGAGAGGGAACCTACACACTTTGATTTTACACATGACTGCATCGACGCAGCACCTTTAACCACTAGGAAAATGCACTTTAAGATTCATCTGCCTGGTGTGATTCAACTGTCTGGGGAAATGGATAGCCTATCAGTTGCAGAACTTAGGCTGGCTGAGACCTTGACACTGATTCTTTCTCGAACCCAAGAGCCCCCACCCCGCCGCCCCCCACATCTCCAGATGAATCCTGGTCCATGGTGCATTCCCTCAGGCTTCGCTGGGAGTCCAGCTCTCCTCCATAGATCGCGTGTCTCCTGGAGATCCCTCACGCCAACCCTCCCTCCCCCCACCCCCCACAGCCTGTCCTCCGCTCCATACCCACGGGCACATTCTGGGTTGGGATTCTCCTGCTTTCAGAAGAGTCATACGAAAGGCGTCATCACGGCGGAGGAGTGGCGCAGTCCCTGGATGGCCGCGTAGGGGCCCTGCTGGAAGTAGTGGTGGTACCGGGGCATGTGGAAGGAGGGGAAGGTGGGGCCACTCCCCTGCATGGAGCTGGCGAGGGCCGAGGGGGTCAGAGGCATCCCCAGGCGGCCGTATGGCGGCAGAGAGCCCTGGATGGGGTGAGGAATGGGCGTTGCTATGGACGCTGTGCTGGTGCCCAGAGCAGTCAGGGACTGTGGGTGCTGAAATCCAGGGAAACTGGACGAAGAGGACACCCAGGAGCTGAGAGACAAGTTGTCGGATGTGGTAAAGGCTGACCCTGAAAGGGAACAACGCGTTAGGCTGGAAACTCAACGTCAAGGTGCAAACCGAGAACTATACAGGGTGTCCCCCCAAAACGCACGCACGCTGTAAGGGCTGACAGCGCATTTTTAAAAATGAAATACATTTTAATAATCGCTGTCTTACTAATGATGCAAAGTATGTGTATCTATTTTTGGGACACCCTGTATCATTTATCTGTAAGGATCGTATTTCTTACTTTAAGAAATATGTCCCAGATCTAGAATTCAAAAAGACAAACATGTCAACCAGGAGGCACATCTACTTTTCCAGAAACAGAAGCACTTATAACATACGGAACAGAGAACTTCCTAAACAGAGAAAGACAGCTCCTCAGACGGCCAGAGTGGCCAAAACATCAGCTTCTACCTGAAGGGCGTGGACTGATTCCCTTCGAAGCGGCTGCAGGTAGCTGACACCTGTGGGCGCCTCGGAGGCCTCCCCGTAAGGAGGGCGGGGCAGGGGGGTCTCCCAGAGCTACGGGGCTTCCAAAGCCTTTGAGAGAACCCACATGAGCGTTCCCTTTCCTTTTTCTCCAGCTTCCCCAGTTCTTTATTAGCTATTTGACAATTTACAAAGTAACTCTTTCTTACATCGCAGCATCCAGATGCCTAAAGGAGAGTTGACATTAAATTTTCCCATCAGATAATTTCTAGTCACGTGTTTGGGTGTAGTTTTTTTTGTTAAAATATCTTACTGATTTTTTTTTTTTTTTACAGAGGTGAAGGGAGAGGGATAGAGAGTTAGAAACATCGATCAGCTGCCTCCCCTTGACCGGAATCAAACCTGGGACCCTTGAGTCCACAGGCCAAC